CTTGCGTCCGTTCTCCAATGGTCGGCGCGGTGCGGAGGTGGTGATGTTCCTCCCGGACCGCTGAGGCGCGGAGGTCATGTCTCTCCCGTACCGCTGCTGAGCTGCTGGACGTGCTCATCCGGAAGCAGTATGAGTGAGAGGGAAAGCAAACTGATGGGGGGTTACTCCCGGGTTTGCGGAATTCAGGCATTTTTCAGGTACGCATGGTCAGGAGTACCTCTTGCCGTTAGGCGAGGGTACTAATGGACATACGTTATCTTTTATTTCATGGCTTCTGATAAGAATTAAACTTCTTGCATTGTTGATGCAAACAGTTGTGACCTAATGTCGTCATGTGGACTTTTCCACAAGGTTTGTTGGACAGCGTTACCCCGATTAATTCGGGGTGGTGGCGGGAATTTAATGCCCGGGATGTCGCGCAACTGCCTTTGTGGGTTTGCTCCACCGCTGACGGCGGTAGTGTCCAGCTGTTTGCGGACGCATGCGAGCAGTTAAATCCTATCAGTAAATGGCACGCTCCACCCGTCATATGACGGGCTCCTCGTGAGGGGGGTGTGATTAGCCATGGTTCATATCATCATCAGGGACGTCGCGTTAGTGACCGACCTGTGGTGTTTTGGCTCAAGTTTTGGGTTCCGTCGCGCCTCGAATGGGCGTCGCCGAACCCCTGCGTCGACCGACGGCATCTCGGGGGAGAAAGAGACCTCGGGCCGCCGCCAGGTTGGTAGGGACCAGTCGTGCGGCCTGTTGTCGACCAAGGTTGCGGGTTAACCCTTTTCTTGTTTGGTTTGTTTTCCTTTGGTTGTTGTTCTCTGGTGTGTGGGAAACCCTGATCTTTGGGACCGGGGATTGGTTTGCTTTTGGGGAACCTTTCTTTTGTGGCTTGTTTACCCCAACTTACCCATTGCCTGGGCACAGGCTCGTGCCCGAATCACATATATATATATATATATTATGAACAATGTGTTTATTATTTTGTTATTATTATGTTATTATTATTATTATTATTAGTATTATTATTATTATTATTATTATTATTATTATTATTATTAATTATTATTATTATTATTATTATTATTGTTATTGTTATTATTATTATTATTATTATTATTATTATTATTATTATTATTATATTGTAATTATGATTTGTTTCTTCTTATTCTTCTTAGTATTACTACTATTTTATGTTTTGTTATAATATGTTTATCATTATAATTTGTTTTTTTAGTATTATTATCAACATTATTTTCTTATTTATAGTATTAGTATTAGCATTATGTTCTTAATTTATATTATTATTGTTGTTATTGTTATCATGTTTTTATTTTTACTTCCATTTGGGTATGGGTCAAAATACAACCACCAGGAATTGGACCGCAGGTTTTAGTCCCTGTTTCCATTTACCAGGGTTCCATGTTGGGTACCTTTGCTTAATTAGCTGTTGGTTAGAAGGGAGCCGTTTTATTTAATATACTTCTAAACAGGGAGCTCAGGAGCTACCAGGAGGTCTGCAAGGACATGGCAGTTAAGATATTCCATTGTTTTCCTTTGCCTGTCAGTGTTATAGAAAATTATATCGCTACAAGCAATATCTTTTGCAGGGGACAGAAGCAAATGACAGTTTATGGACGACAGATGGAGCAGACAGGTACAGGGTGTGTCGCATTTTGAGGGCACCCTTAAAAAGGGTGGTTCTAAAACAAACCAAAAGCACAACCATCAGTTTCGGGGCAGAAGGAGCAATGACAGTTGTATCTTACGAAAGTCATGCCTTGGTAAGCAACTTCAGCCATTGACTCCAAACAGGGAACCCTCAAGTTTTTTTTGGTAACTCCCAGCCATCCCCTTAGCATCTCAGGTTTTTAGGGTTTCATGGGGCTTTCCATGAAAACTAAACTTTTAGCGGATCTGGGGACCGCCCAGATTTGAGGCAAGAAACATACAAACATGTCGAACAGGTCTCTACATGGCCCTTTCAAGCAAATCTGAGGTGAGTTTCCTCTTGTTTGGGTGAACATCAGGAGCCCTGGGCTACGCAAACATGACAGCGCTTTCTTTTTTGGAGACTTGTTTCATCCACCCTGGCCTCCTGATACCCCCTCCAAATTTGTCAGGAGAGAGCTTACATGGGGGTTCGCCGTGAACTTTTTTTACTGCACCCACATTGCATCATGTGCCAGAATATGTGGACAGGCCAATGGTCCATTTGAATCAAGAACGTCTGCGTGAATGCAAAACACCTGACCGCCTTTGGATCATACGCACTCTATGTGGACAGCCTCACTCAGGGATGTGTCAAATCAACAGGCAAACTTTGGAATGGCTTTGACAGGAAACAACAATGACTCCTCCATGTTTGTTTTTCCTTTTTTTTCTATTTTTTTTTTCCGGCCATGTTCTTCATTCAGCTTCCATAATTGCAGTGTGTCCCGTGATTTAACTGGTGGTTATCCTGCCGACCAAACAAAAAATGACCAACAAGGGTCCTTGAGTTCCGCAGATTTTCTTTTAAGTGAGAATAGTGCACGGGGGTGGATATTTGTACAGGTTTACTTGCATGGTTCAAACGTGGGCAAGGGCGATCTCAAGCAGGCACATGCTTGCAGCCAACAAGTACAGTTGCAAGATGGTCAACGGTCAGGCGGCAATGGCTATGAACAACGAGCATTGCGGGGATATGTGCATGACACAAGATCAAGCATTTGGCCGCTAATTATTCCAAGCATTGTTTGGGCTGTCGGATACATGTTATGGGACTGGGCGTGAAGCCAGGAAGAGAACAAATTATTCCGTTCCGTCCTGGTACAACACGTTCTATTTTCGGTTGTGATGGCAAGTCGTGAAATTACAGCCTGCGGTTCAAGTAGCAAGCTGCGTACAAGTCCAATGCTGATTGGGTGGAAGAACATAGGCCGACTTCCCAAGTCTTTAAAATCTCAGCAAAGACAACAGACTAGAAGGGACTCAGACGAGTCTGACATGAGGATTCTTCACCTAGCGGATACCGTGCCTTTCTGCGAGACAGATCCTTTTGTCCCCATTGTTTCACCGGAACTGAACCGGCACCAAATTCCACCATCACATCGAAGCGTTCCTTTTCTTGGCTGCAGTTTTTTTATTGGATTGCATCATTCGCCTGTAGCTTTTTGGGAACGTGTGTGTGTTTCCCCAGCCAGCAAAGGGTAAGCAGTTTTCGTGGTGGCACTCGCCACCGTGGGTTTACCAACTTCTCGAGACCGAGGAGCGCGCCAACTTCTTCAAGAACCAGGAGAGCCGAGGTTGCCCCCCCCTTCCCGCCTTTTTTGGGTTAATGGCCACTGGTCCTGTGTCTGGGGTTTGCTATAGAATGATAAAGCTGATTTTGAAGGGGTTCTAGGGTGCTTTGAACCTAGATCTAGTCCTGTCTTCAACCTGTTGGGGAACACTAGACTGATGCTGATGAAGACGTTGAATGTGTTTCTGGAGACTAGGCTCAGTCACTTGAAGCTACCTGTTCGGACAAACAAATGGCTTACCTCCCCTGCAAAAACAAAACAACAAGTACTAGCAATGGATTCTCCAGAATGCGATGCTGACATGCATTTTACGAGGAACAGAGCTTTGCCCAAAGGACAACCCTGCGGGGCTGCTCAAAGTATCGTCTCCAATCGGTACGCGCACCGCAGAACAAAGACCCATCCAAAGTGCCATCGTCCAAAGACCCTGAGAATTTCTAGGGATGGTCATGACTCCCTTACTTCGCATTGGCACGCGCACCAAAGTAGCTGGTGTCCTGTGGGGTTTCCCGACTGCATCGACCTCCTGAAGACTAGCATGAGAGTTTCTATAAAGACAACCCTTACCATCCTTACCTTGGCCTAGTCGTGACCCATGGTGCACATCGGGTTCATTTCAGCTGACAAAATTGCTGCTCTACCGTCAGTTTGGCGAGCCTCATCTGAAAGTCCCACGAATACCGCCCAATTTCTCCATCCCCTCAGGGGGGAAAACATATCGTAATTTTGTTCGGGCCAGAACCCCATGGTCTGCGCACTCGCTTGGTTCGTTTGATCAGGACTCCTTCCCCGAGACTTCCAAGGCGTGCCCCGCCAATTTGGACGTAGGTTCCTGCGCGTGCTGGGTGGCACGCCACCGACACGGGGGATTTCTGGGGCCGTACGCAATGCTGGAGCCACAAGTGCCAGATGCGTTGGTGGTGTGACGGGGTCAATGGTTTCGCACCATCTTACATCTGTGCCCTCGACCAACTAGGTGTCCAGTAGTGCCCTTTGACCCTTTTTTGGGGGAGGGTTCGCCTACTAAAATAGACTACAGAAAAAGCGTACCCTTATTCTAATCTCTCTACTGGAGAATCTAGCCGAACTGATGGTGGAACAGACGCAAATCCTAGGTGTTGGGTTGAACATGGACGACGTTGAGGGGCCATTCCGACCCTCTCAGAAATTCATGTATGCAAGGGAGGGCATAGCGCTAACAATGCACCTTTCGCCAAATATGTATCCCTTTTGGGGGCCAACACTTTCAACGCATTCCCCGAGGCCCCGAAAGTTTTAATTTGCGGCATGTGCCCGACTCGTGGCTCGCCAGTGTATAGTTGCAAAGGGCATAGGCAGGTTGGGGTATGAATGCAAGTGACGATCGAGCTCGGGCGCTTTGCCTTGAAGGTTCCTTAACCTCATTTCAGCAGCCCTCCGACAGGGAAGGCTGGCGGACGGGCGCCGCAAGGTTCGCTATGCGTGCTCGTACTTGGCGGCCGGAAGGCAAAAGGACGCTTGCGCCTGGGTGCAAGGATCACACGGGACTGCCCCAAAGGGCCACTCAAAGGCAAACCCTCAACCATGTCCAGATTCTGGCTGCACCATCAGAGAATCATGCGGGTTCCGGATGTTCTTTCTGGGTAGCCTTCAAAAAGCTTAAGGCATTTTCGGGGAGTCGGAGGAACAGCTTCAACCAGGCCCTTTGAGCCCTTGCCTCGATCCCTCCAGACCGCCCGCTGGCAGGTGCTGCGCCCGGCCTCCGTGGACTGCTGGGACCGCCCGGACTGGGCGGACTTCCGACAGAAGGCCCAGGGCTTCGCACGGCCCGAGACCCAGACGCGAAAGCGCTGAGAGTTTCCGACCACGAAGCCGTGTGATTTCCCTGGTGCCCCTTCTGAACATTTGCAACAAGTCTATATATACACATTATGCAAAACATACATGAACATGGTCTTAGAATGCAATGTGGGTCACTGACAAAAAAACACGGACCCCCCCCCCAAATAATTTGAGGGGATCAGAAAGAGGACATCACTCAAAATGGGCATCAGAGGCCGCCCCCCCTCTACTCCAAAGTAGTCTCTAGGCACCTATTTGCTTGGCAGTGCTGTTGTTGCCGCGGTGGTGGTGGAAGCTGGGCGCAGGGCAGGGTCAGCGCAGGTTTTGGGACCTGGGAACTCATAATTTTCTTGTACTGAGTAGCCAGTTTTTTCTCCAAGGAAAGACGAACATAGCCTTTTTTTTCTCCAAGGAAAACGGACATACTCTGAGCATTTTTCCTGAAGTTGGTACCCGTTGCTGAATCGTTGACCACCACCACTTGTGTATATATATATATATATTATGATATATATATATATACACACGCACATTCATTCATATGTTTGTGTGTTCATTATACACCCCAGTAGTGAGGAACCCCCAAAACAACAGAACAACATGTAGATCGTCAGGGTGCCCATTGCGAAAAGAACGCCCATGGCTTGTTGTGGTTTCTGGTAGTTATGTCTAATCAAATGTCTATCTGAGTAAACCACAAATTTGGACTTCTTGTTACCAATCCACTCACGAAGTAAGATGTTGACCGGAGCTGAACGCTTAACGCTGAGGCAGGGGTGGCCTAAAGCCGATGCCGAGCTTGAGGCGAGGACGTGAAGCAGTGAATTGCAGTGAAATGGTGGCTTTACCTCCAAGTGCGTAAGATGTTGGTTTACTTAGCAACATGAACGAAGGGGTCAGTGCTGTTGTCCCTTGTGAATACTCTGAAATGAGGTCATACTTGTGACACCTGTTGAAATTAGACATTGTTGACCCGCACTTCAAACTTGCAAACCACCAAGTAGGCTTAGCTGAGTGATTGCACTCATCTTCCTAGAAATTGGTCTGAACCTTACGAGTGCCTTGTATTGTTCGCTTTGCGTGGAACGGGTGTTCTTGGGGCTGTGTTGCGGAGGGAGACCGGTTTTTAGAGCCTTTCCAAATTTGTGGAGAGACTTATATTTGGATGTGGCTCAAAAGTAGGGCCCCAAAATGGAACCGGATGGGTAAATTGAAGTAGACTACCTGCGGTTTGGCTCTTAAGTTTTGAGCCACGCCCATTTGTAGGTGCCAAGCAAAGGGTTGCATTGCTACTACCCCGCCGTATCTTTTGGCATGACAAGCTGAGCCATCCCGGACTTGGTTTCCAAATTTTCTGGGAATCCCAAAACCCAAAAACCTGTCTCGGGCATTGCCTAGCTATCGCACCAAGTTCATTCTGCATGTTCCAAGACCCATCCGTATTCGCATGGCCCAAATCACCAAAAGCCGTGGAGCTTTTGTTCTGTTTAAATAGAGGACTCCCAATGTCAGCGGTCAACATAAAGGCCATTTTTGGGAAGACAATTTTTGTCCACTAAACTTCAGTCTTGTCCATTTTTGGGGAAGCCTGGACGACTTCTCACAGCGGGCCCTGTCAGGCGATGTCCAGGGCCTTGGTGGAGAAGTGGCGCTGGGTGGTGTGCAAGGAGGCGAAACCGTCCACTCTTCTCGGGTCGGAACCAGCCATCCGGGTCCGCGTTTTGGTGGCTTTGGGTTGGTGCAGTGGTTGGATGTCCGTATTTGGCCCACTAAAATATGGAGACTTTTAGCAAGGGATTTCTCAAGGGTTGAGTCTGTTAGCAGCATCCTTTTGCAGGAAACGAGTTGAGCAGCCCAGTGTCACTTCTTTCTCCGAGTGGAAGAAATCGGCGGTCTGCGTAGGATTGCCGAACCACCGAGCATCTGACTTGGTTCTTCGTGGAGGACGTCGGCTTGAGTTCTGTTCCGTAGAATCCTGGGGGGCCGATTCGGAGGCTTACCTGAACAATGGAGGGGTCCCGGGGGCCTTTCAGACCTCAAAGAAGCCTAGAAGCGTGGTTGGTCGTGATACCCTTCTCTGAGTGCTGGGAGGGTATGTTGAAGTGAAACCACTCTCCAGGACCCTCACACACATCATACTCTTAATTGAGGTCCCACATGCCTGATCCGATCTTTGGACTGCTCGGTCTGGGCGTCGTTGGGCCCTCAAGAAGCAGTAGCAGCCTTTTTGCGTACAGGTGGAAGAGCTCAATTGAAGAGCCAAGGACTCATTTGCAGCGTAGTTTGTAATTGATTCATACATACATACTAACAGCAAACATAGAGCCTGCACAGGGGTTCCTGGAAGAACATGTTCCCGCTAAAGAAACCCCTGTGCAGGTTCCATGCTGGTTTTGGGAGGGTAAAACAAGTATATATATATATATATGTGTTTTGTGTTGTTGTTGCATGTACACACACATGATTGTTTTTGCGATTGTGTCTTTGTTATTCCCTCGATCTGTCATTAATTGACTATACATACTACTGATGGACAAAATTCGGCAACACCTAACAAGCCCTGGAATGATGATTCCCCTGTAAATACCAATAAACAACTGTTTCCCATGGTTTCAAAGTAGGGCAGGATTTTGTCCATCCACAGTAGCTCGATCAAGAGGTTTAGCAACATCCTTGGTGCCCTTTGTAGCTATCCTTGAGCCACCCCAGTTCAGGGCCCGCTGAGTGGACTTAAGACAGGTGAAAGTGAGTACCCAGGTTGCGTACCTGAGGTACCCTGCCTCAACTTTACTTATTCGGGTGTTTGACTACCAACCAACAGTGGCTTCGCCCAAAATAAAACAAACAACAGGTGACCCCCAAAATGACAGGGCTATATAGGCCATAGGCAGAGCGAGCTGATGCTTGGCTGCGCCAACGCCTTGCTTCATCTTTTGAGAGTCAAAGCATTTTGGTTTCCTTTCAACCAGCACATTTCGACAGAGCCTCAACCTTCCCCCCCTCCCCCCCTCGGGTCCCCCCAAATGGATCCGAGTGATAGCAGGACTGGGGCGCGAAGTGCAGCGAGAGCGCGAACTTTGACCGGTACCTGGTGACGCACTACTTCAGGACTCGGGGGGGTTCTATTGGTTTGTTCCCTTTGATTTCCCTTTGGTTTTCCTACAAGGGAAATTCCCTCCTGAAAACTAAAGGGAGACGAAGAAATAATGTCCCTTTTGGTGCGTTTTTTGTTGGGACAATCCGGCATTTTGGTGTGTTTTATGCAACATATGGTGGTGTGTTTTGCGGAAGTCCCTTCTTGTTGGAACATCTCTTTTTTTTTGTTCTCCGGTGGGAGGAATCGCACATCCGTTTTTTTTTCTCCGGTGGGAGGAATCGCGGGCTGAGCTACTCCGCGCGGAAATCGGAGTATTGCCACTTTGGCCGGAGACCAAGGATCGAGCCATCGGAAACGGAGTCGGCGCGGGCGATCGAGCCAAGGACTTTGGTTTGTGAGTTTTTCCTGGGGGAAGGCCACGTCTTCCAAAAGCGAGGGACCCCCCGACCCCGGTGGTTGTCTGGATTGGTTTGGGATTTGAACCCTGATTCTTGTAGCGGGTAAATGGGGAATCTCTCCTCCACGGAGCTGCCGCCCTCGAGGGAAGCTGCATCAGTCGATGCTTCGAGTTTTTTGAAAAGACCTAGGACCTGCACACTTCCATGAGTGGTACGCTTTTCAGTGGTTCCTTGAAGAATCCCAAAGGGTCCAGAGTCGAGGCGCTTAGATAGTTCAAATGTTTGTCCAGGGGCAAAGAAGCGATTGGAGATGGCTTGTGTGTGTTCTCTTTATCTTTCCAGGAACCGTTTGCTTTGGCATATGGCGATGCGTTTTCATATAGGGAACCTCAAAAGTTGAACATATCCACCAATGGGTCCCCCATCAAATTGCCCATCCATATGGCATCACAAAACCCGACTTTTTGGGCCCCACTTTCAGCAGTTTTTCTCGTGTCCTGCATCTGCCCGCGATTTGCTTGCAGGGCGAAACTAGAAAGGTGGTCTATTCTTGGTTCGGGGACATCTCCCGCAGCCAGAGGTCGGGGCTCACATGGTACACATTCATTAAAATGATGCCTGCGGAAAAGGATCAGCTCTACAATGAACCCGTGGGGTTCTTCATTTTGGTTATGGGTTCAGCCTTCAGGCAATTTTAAGCTACTAGGCACCCCAAAGGCCCAAAGGCTAGAAGCTCTAAGGGCTCAGCCATGCCGAGGCTTGAGCAAGTGTTGCTTCAAACCGGGCCTCAGAACCTCAGGGAAACCAACAGAAGCTGTTTCAACAAGGGCTGCTTACAGTTGGCTGAGAGTAGATGGCTCTGATCGTCATCCCCTTCACTTCCGCAAGTGAGGGGAACTGTGCCATCTACCTTCACCCACCCTTCCCTGTGTAGAGGAAGCGGGGAGATTCTCCATTTAGTATGCTCCCTTTTGGGGTTCATGTTAGTTGGCCGGGCATCATCTGGGATCTCGCCCCAACAAAAACGCGCCCAGCTGCCCTAGACGGGTAGAACGAGAAGGACTGGGCGCCAAAGTCCGAGGCTTCATCACCGCCCTGGTCATCACGGCGCACTTCGAGTTCCCCAACTCCGTGTCCAAGGCCCTGCGACGCCGCGGCGACTTTTACTCAACAAGCTTTCTCGCAACGACCGGCGTGTTGAGCGGTGGGTTGTGGAATGAACAAATTTATCCAACCACTTCTGTGATATGTTTGGGAATATCTTCCCATTTTGTTTGGGGGAGTCTGTCTTTGGGAAGCCCTTTCTGTTGCATCACAGTGGTCATTTTCCACAGCCTTGTTTTGATTGGTGAGTTTGCTTCGAAACAGATTGGTTTTGCCTAGGTTAGATTGGGTTGGTGCCATCCATTTACCAGGGAAGCCCATCTATCTTTTCCAAAAGATCACTTATGGCGACAATAGGTGGAATCGGGTCAACCATCCAACCGACCGTTTTTGTTTGAGATATGTTGCATGGACAATAATCAGCGTTTGGGTTGGTGGGATGGTTAGTTGACTGTGACATGGCCCTGAGCTCTTCGGGTGGCGTCCCGGCAGTCATTTTATTTAGGAGATGACACACTCAGCAAGATGTGTCCCTTGGCTAGGAACGGTTTAACAAGAAGCCAATCTGACACGTTTACGTTTTCGGAGGGGCATTAATTTGGTTGGATTAAGCATGGCCATGCAATCATGTGGCTGTGGCTCAAAAAAGTGGTACTAGTACCAAATTGGCACCCGGCAAATGGAACCAAAGACTAAAACCCGCGTAACCCCAGCTCTTCAATTTTGAGCCATATCCATGTATTCCCTCAGATGCACTGCGTTTGTTGGCCGAATACAACGAGCCCTTGAAACTGGGCGCGCTCGAGTCTCGACCGCCGGTCCGAGCCAATTGTTTTTGGGGGGGGGCACGCGTGAGGAGGTGTGGAGCGAGCCTCTTGGAAAGGGAATCCGATCGGTTCTTGAAACAAAGATGCCTTCCATGCTTTCCTTGAGAAAGAGGCATGGAGCAGAACACCAAAGCACCTGCGAGAGAATCTTGATGGTTCAACGCCCAGAGAGGTGGCAGCTCACTTGAGGCGGGTCGCCTCCTTTTCCTGGCGCGCGGAAGCCCGGCTTCGTTGGGGCCGTTGGAGTCTGAGTCTGACCATCCAGGCGCCTTCAGCCTTCAGCCGGCCGGATTTGAAGCATTCCACTCCGTCGGCTGAACCTAAATTGGGTGTGGGTCAAAAGAAAAAACCCAGGAATTGGACCGCAGATTTTAGTCCATGTTTCCTCTTACCAAGGCTCCATTTTGGGTACCTATTTTTGACCCACAGCCAATTGTGGAAGGACTGGAAAAGCGAAGATTCAAAGCATGGTTGCGCCCTCCAAACCCTGGCAAGTTGAGGGAGATTGGATGCTTGTGCATTTCATTCTGGTTGCTCCGAGGTCCTAAAAGATGATCAAGCCCACAAGGGTAGGACATTGGAAAAGGGTTTTCTTTCAGTTTCCTGTGGTTTCCTTTGATTTCCTCTGATTTCCTTCCGGCACCCTTGGTTTTCTTTTGGTTTCTCTTGGTTTCCTTCGTTTCCCTCGGTTCCCTTCGGGTTTTCTTCGGCTTCCCTTCACCCCAAGCGGGCCTTTGGCCTCGGGTGGGTCTGAGGTTCGTGCTGCTGGGCGATTTCCTGGCCTTTGACTGGCGGCCTGACAAAGTCTTCAGCGAGGGGTGGAAGATGCAAAAACGGCCCTTGGCTTTGATCTTTGTCTTTCGTTTGTGGATCCCCCCGCAGTTTTGGTTTGTGGCGACTCTTTCTTTTTTGCGGGTACCCCCATTGTTGTGGTTGCAAAAGGGAAACCAAGAGAGACAATCACCCAGTTGAAGTTTCACAAGTCACTTTCAACTTTCGTTCGGAGGGACACTCTCCAATGCCAAGATTTGTGCAGCAAACTTGTTTGCGGTCGCGTGAAAACTAGCATGACTTCTGGACCAACCCCCTTAAACAAGCAGGGCGTAAATGATGGACAAGTAAGCCCTATATACCTCTATGTATATATGTATGTATGTAGGCATGCACTGTCAAATGTTCGCTTTGGCTTGCCTGAGACTTGGGGATCTTTTATTTCAAGCCATGGCTTTGACTGTAGGGTACTTCCCACAATTCCCATTCTCCAATGTCCTATCAACACCCACATGAACATACCCTGCCACTTACAGATGATGCACTGAGGGGAGGGTTCTGCCCATGCGGGTGACCGCGGGTGTGTCTTTTTTGGACACCCACCAATTTTCCAGGGTCCCTTCAAAAAATGAGACTCCATTTTATAGTCCTGGTCCCCAATATGTTTTTTGAGGGGTCCCCTATGTTTGAGACAGCAAGGACCTTAAGACCACCTGCCGTGGCAGGCTGTCCTCCTCCAGCTGGCCGGTGGACTCGCTCATGATCCTGCTGAACGTGCACATGGTGCCCACCTCGAAGCCATTGATCCGCGACCTTTTTTCCTGGCAGCTGTGCCTTTCAACCAATCCCCCCCACAAAAGGGTACCCTTGCCCGTCAAAAACAACAGAGCCATATGACATTTAGACATTTACCCTCCATGGGGTCAAATGTTGGTATGGCACTATTGCTCGTCCACTACCTGAAGACTGCTAGCTTCTTGCTTGACTTGAGAAAGGACCAGTGCAACTTACCAGTGCGCACAACTCATGTGGATCATGTATTTATATATATATATATAGACATGTTCATTTTGCACTACATGACTCACAAATCAATGTACATGATCACCATCGTCTTTGACAGGGTCCCAATACAGAGCCCCAATTCGCTAGTCACAGTTTCCGTGTTCAGGTGTCGCAGGAGCTGATCACGGGCAGCCAGTTGGAGTTCGTCCGGGCGCAAGGGCAGCTCCCAGGCGCCAGGGGCTTTCTGATGCTCAGGGAATGAGGGAATGAACCCATGGATGGTTGATAAGGGCCAGTCATTCCCTCATTCCCCAGCTATCTCTTTCGGGGGTTCCCATTTTTTGGTAGCCCCATGAAGTGAAACTTGTTGTGTCTGCGTCCAAACTGGGCGACTGGGGCTGGGAAGCCCAGCAACTAGTCACTAGTCTTCCCTATTTCACTAGAAATGGTCAACCCCAAAAAGGGTTCCTTTTTCTACCAGGGTTGCTGAACAACTCAACGTTTGGCGGGTATTGGAACAACCCTTTTCATTGCTTTGCTTGTTTCCCACTAAACATGTTCAATCTATGCTGTTATCCAATCTAGGCATCAGCTTTTTTGAAGCCGGGGCACGGGTTTCCCAAGGTACAGGTAGATGCCCGACTTTCCTTTTTGTGGTTGCCTTTTCAACAAATAGAATAACTCAGCAGGGTGTGGGTCAAAATTCAACCACCAGGGGACCACAGGTTTAGTCCTTGGTTCCATTTGCCAGCGTCCCATTTTGGAGTTACCCTATTTTTGACCCACAGCCACATGGAGCCACATGGACTCGTGCCATTTTTCACCCCAACACCGCTACCTGGTGGGCGGAGTAGCCGAAAAGTTCTGCCAGGCGTGCGTGGCGCTGCCTTCCTGCGAGAGCAGAGTCGATGGCACAGTCCACAGGAAGTGGGTGGGTTGAGTTGCAACCAGGGCCCGGCAGCCCAAAGAAAAAGAATAACCAAGGCGTGAGTGAAATCAATAGTGGGAACTGTGTCTACCCCGAAACCCTGAACAACTAGAATTAGGATGGGCAAGCCAAATTATCTCACTCATAGGGCAATCATGTGTGTGAGAGAGTATGCCCTGCCCTTATGTTGAGGAACCAGACCATCCCTTGGAGCCAAACACTCAAATAAACCATCACAAGTTTGTTCAAACAATCTATTAGGCGTTTCCTACTAAACAGCCCCCCCACCAAACACAAGACCTTTGGGCTTTCGCTGCTATCCTGGTCTATGAGCCATGTTCCTGTTCGTTTGCAGATGGATTCGTTTGGTTACCTGCAGTGGCTTCCCTTGGTCGGTCTGGACCTGTTGGTTTTTCTCTTCGACTCGAGGTTGGGCACATCCGAAGCAGCGAAGCCCGTTGCCAGGCGCGGAGAACGGTGCTCTGAGGGAACCCCAAAGATGGCTGTCGGGCTTAGAGGGCTCGGAGGGCTTAGGGGGCTTAGAGTGGGATTTGATTTGTGACTCCTTGTAGCGTAGGACGGGTCCCTTCACAACCCAAAAAAGGGGATCTACTTACTTCCTGAGTTCCTGGGCTTTAGCCACTTGGGAAGACCGTTTCGGTGGTTTGCCCCAAAAGTCTGGTGACTTGTTTTGGCCAACCCACTCAGGAAGCGATGGTGCAGGGGGTCTACCCAAGATTACGTAAAGAAGATCGATGGCTCAAACTGGCAGCTGGACGGCTGTGAGCTGGCTGAAGAAATTTGTGTGTGGCGGTTTGATGACAACTTAGAAGAAGTGACTATATCAATCCAGGTGAGGTTTACCCATTCGGTCGCGCTCAAAGGATGCGGAAACAAAGCCCGGCAATTGCGTCTTCTATTTTCGTAAGAATATGCTTCCGTTTTCCCCTATTAGTTTTAGCGGGAATCTGTCACTACTGGATTTTTTTTCCAGGTGATGTATTCGCAAATGGTCGTTGATAGGGTAGATCTCGCCTGTCTGCGCTCAAATCGATAGCTTTGGCGCCAATCCAGTTGCCTCACGCAAATGAACAGTTCTGGGCCCCCTGAAGGCTTCTTACTTGAGGATTCCTAGTGACAGACATGGCTATGAATTTCAGGAGTTGTTTCCCCTTGACAAGTGGACATATATCCCCCGAAGGTGTCCACCAAAGGGCTCAGCAGCCTTCCAGCGGCAACTTTGGCCTGCTCGAGTCAAGCTCAATCGCTCAGCCCTCCGAAAGTGATTCAGAAGCCAGCCGATTTTTGGCATCAGATAGTGAGGATGCAGCTAGGCTGGAGCATGTGAACTGAAGAGATAAGAAGTCTGTGGTCTTCTTGAGCTTTGAGTATTACTTGGAAAGCCATGCCCATGAAGTATTGGGGTCCCATTTTTGTTAGTGTCAATTGATACTCCTGGTGCAAGCAATGCGGCCGGCAAGAAAACCGAAAGCATGCTTTCATATAACAGCATATTGTGGGCATATGTGACTTTAGTGTGTGCAGCAAGAAAAAGCACAAGGCATGAGCAGATTCTCCCCCGGGGGGGGGGGCAGCCAACGTATCCATTTCCCAGGTCCAAAACTGCCCCTGTCGCTCGATCCCTCCGGAGGGGTTCCTTCAGCCGGACCTTGCGAATCTGGCAGCTGGATGCGCACACCGCCCTGGCTGGGGAGGCGGAACCGTGACACCGTGACACCGTGACGCCAGCAAGCCGCACCTTGGGTTTTTGCGTCGGCGGAGGGTGCGCTTTTCAGGTGGGCTTTTCCAGGCTTGGTGGCTCTTAGCCATCCCCTTAGCCTTTTAGCTTGTTAGTCTTGAGTGGGGATTTCCATTCAACCCACTAAAAGTTAAACTTTTAGCGGGGGATCTGAGGACAGCCCAGGGAAACCAACAGGCCCGCCATTTTGACAGGGTGCCCCCCTTTGCTACACGCCTGTGTTTTATTACATGCACGAAGCGGAAGCTTTGTCGAGCCGGCTTCGGAGGCCAAGACGATGCTGACCCGCTTCGGCGACGAGGCGGTGGATTTCGGAATTTGGATTTGAGGTGTCCTCTTTCTGTACGAAGGGAGTGGCCTTTCAAGTTTAAAGTGAATCTGTGCTTTAAAGCGAATCAAGCAGTTTGGTACCACAGAGTAACTTCCGAAATGTGTGACAAGTCCGGGAACCCTCCCCAACTCACTTTTCTCTCATCCTCTACCCCCGTTCTTCCCAAATGACAAGGGAACACGCGCACCTGTTTGTTGCGTAAAGACATGTCACTCACTTCGCAGGGATAATATGTGTGTGTACCCAATGATCAAAATATGGCCAACCACGTCTGCGTGGGTTGTCATAGGGATGATTCTCAATCTGTTTCCGGGGAATCAGGCAACGCCAGGATTTCCACTCATGGATCCACGATCCACTGGTAGAGATTTGGCGGCACGTTGTGTCGACAGGCGAACTGAGTCATTCATCTGGACATCAGCAAAGTGTGAGGGGTGGGGGACCCTTTGAACCAAAAGCCCTTTTCTTTCTTTCTGGGGCGACTAGGGGCGAGTTCGTGCGGCCCTTATGCAACACGAGTTCTATGCAATGCAAACCAACCCCCAAAAGGATACCAAAAAAATCAGACCCAAACAGACCGGCTCTCCTCGACAGGTGGAGGTTCAATTCCTAGGCAACTCCCTGGCCAGCAACGTGTGCTGGGCGGCCAAGTGGAGACAGCTGCGACAAGGGGGAATACCAGATCAAGCACAATCAAGTTGATTCTTCAGAGGGATCCTGATCGTTTTCATGGGATTACAGGCACACAGGACAAATTGCAAGCCCCCGAGTGATTTCACGCATCAACCTGGGGGGGACCCGACCAAGAAGATTCCTATTCGATGACTTCCAAACTCCAAGGGATATGTTGAAGCGCGCGCGAGTGGATGGGAGAGTGCGTAAGGTCGAAACTACGACCTGTGCCCCAGCGGAGAAGACAAGGAGCAGACCGGGGTGGCAAACCCAAAGATCATCCTCCCAGTCCCTTTCTCCGTAGATCGGCAGTTTTGTGCCCTTGTCTCTTTGGAGCTTGAATGTGGGTGTTTGTCTTTTTCTTTCTTTCTGGGGGAAACCCTTATGAAGGTATTTCGTTTTAAGGGAAGCAAGATGTAAGACACTTGTTCTTTAGGTTCCATTTGGAGGACCCATGTGGATCGTCACATAGGCCGCATGTCACGATCCCCGCGAGGGGGTTGCTTCGAGGGTAGAAGTTCGCTAGGTCTGTCCCGGATTTTTCTTCTGGACCAGTTCTCCTTGAGGACACCTGGTTTGCAGAGGGTAAATGGGAAAATCGATTCTTGTTGGAGCAGCGGGCAGCATTTTCCGGTGGGAAGTGGCCCAAGACTGTCAAGGAGCTTCTGCAGAAGCTGCTGGATCGCTACTACCGGGCCAAAGAGGCTCTACAGAAAGGGCTGTTGGGCTCGCCTTTTGTTCGCGCGCGCGTTCAGATTGGTTGTGGTTTATATAATGGACGATTTCCTTATTTTTATTGTTTGCCTTCGGCGTTTGACCATTTGAGCTGTGTCCCTGCTGTGAATTCCCACTGCTTTTGCGATGTGGTCCAGTTTCCGGCAAGTTCACAATATGTCTGGTAGATGGAGATTCTGGCTGTGACTGCAGTTGGTACCAGGTGGATTGGTTGAAAGGTGAAAGGAAACCAGCCGTGCTCAACCACAAACCGAAGGAACATTATGATCACTTCTCATGTACACTTTTGTGCAATACAACTAGGGCATCCACCTCTCTTCCAACTGTTAATCATACGATCAATGGTCACCCCTGATGTCATGTGTAAACGAGGCAGCGCTTTCCTCTCTCGTACGTATACACCTGGAGCCACGAGTGCTTAGCGCTTGGAAGCCCCAAGACTCAAAAATAGAGGGCTCATGAGCTTTGCAAAGACGCTCGCTTGACCTTTGGGCAAATTGACCGGGAAAAACTTCCACTTGCTTACCCACATTTGTTTGTTTGTTTGTTACCCCTGGCTTTAAAGGGAATTGATTTCACTAGACATGCTTTCTCATTTTTTTCCAGGGGACGTACTCGCAATGGAGGAACATGGGCTTCCCATGACAAGGATTCCTTTGCCGAAGCGACCACTTGTCAGCCCTTCTTGGTGGCGAAGCGGGGCTTCGAAGAAGCGCTGGGTGACAGGCGGGGGGCGCGACGTTGGGGGCGTTGACGGCTGGGGGGATGGGCACCTAGCCCTACGTAAAGATCCAAATTGTTCTTATTCAAGAAGGATCTTTGAGGATATTTAACGGTTTTGAGATCGCAAGCCTTTACATATACGGGGTCAAGGGTCCCTAGAGTAGCGTATCTTTTGCAGCCAAGAATCCAATACACTTCGAAGGAAGGCTTTTGCACAATTCAATTGAAGGCAACACATGGGGGAAGGGTGGGGGAGGCAGGGCCGGGGTGGTTGCTTTGTGGGCTTGCTTTGCTTGCCTGGGGGCTAGTTTGCTTTGGTTGGTTCGCTTAGGTTTGTTTGGCAGGGGCGTTTTTTGTTTTTTTTTGCACGATTGCAGTTCAATTATTTGGTGAGTTGATTGGAAACACATCCAACAGCAGGCTTACACTGTGTACTCGTGCTTGCATGTTTATACAGTAGTTTTTAACCCTGGATTCAGAATCCTGGCGGGTTACTGTGTGGGTGTTCCCGCAAAACGATGAACAGTTGGAGGTCTCCTCTGTTTGGACACCCGCACTAGGAGGTGTTTTGCAGGTTGGTTTGCCCTTTCCGACTATGTGGGCAACTGGAGGCACTGGACAAGGACACGGCAGCCATTTCGCCTTTTCGACTTAGGTGCCAAATCACGCCCTCGGATGCTTTAGACACTTTGTGTTTTCCCATTGAATCCGCCACAGGGTACCACAGGGTAGGGAAGTTGCACTGGATCGCTCCTCCTTGAACCTGCAATAGCTTAGATGTGTTGCAAAGGGATGGGACCCGGGGCCCCACTCGACGCAAGCGAACAACATGCCTGACATCCATGCCAGGCTCTCGCGGGAAGCCGACGTGCTGATGTGCAGTCAGCCTTTATGTGGTGTACTCAGTCTGTCTTGATATCCCCAGCTTCAAGATCCGAATGCGTTGTTCCTCAAAACACATAATTTCCAAAGCTAGGTGGAATGGGCGAGGCTGGAAGCACACTATTTTGGCAATGCTTTACATGGGCTTTTCTCAAAATAGGCGACCCTCCCAGCAGGTGATGTCCTTTTGGTTTCCCTCTAAACTAACCCCAAGAGGGGTACCCTCCAAAGGAGACATCCAGACATCATACGTGCAACGCACCATATTGCCAGAGTGATCTTTTGGCCCCAAGAAAACAGTTTTGCTGGCACTTGTCGCGGTTTTGAGGAGCCCCGTATCGGTTTCCTGCCATACTTCCGGGTATATTTCCATGCAGGTGTGCATCGCCCTATGAACTCAGCAACACTTTCATATGAGGAGACCTTGGACAGCAACAGCTGAGGAGGACAGGTGACATGTAATCAGCATTCTAGTGATAGTGGCACATGTTGGCATTTTGACCGTCAGGAGAATGTTACCATGAACATCAGCATGCTAAGTTCGATCTTCCACAACTGCCAGGGGCAGCCTCAAAGACCATTCTCATCTAGAGGGGACCAATTGGACGGTTCCATTTTAGTGGATGGGAGAGTAAATGCCAAGAGCCTGGGAGCTCGAAGCTGTGCCTCGCAAGCGAGACGGCATGCAGCTTTTTCTCCAACAGGCTTCCTAAGAAGGCGACATACTCTTCTGCAAACATCGCCAGGGTCATTGAAGAGGGTGGACCCCTGGGATAAATGCAACTGAGGACCCGGGTAAGGGGACCTGCCAAGTTCGGATCGATCGCATTCTGCAAGCCACTCAGACCTGGGTCGTGATTCTCAGATTGTACACAACATACCGTGGCTTAAGGGGCTTGAATCATTTCAAACAAACACCAGGTGGACAAGGATTAAGATAGGAGACCCCCAACAAATGGCAGGTTTCCTTTTGCCTTCCTGTTGAAACCATCCTCAAGAGGTATTCTCAACGAAGAGAGCAACTCCCTCTCGCGTTTCGCTGAGTCTGGTGCCGATTTCTGCTGGGTCTGCAGAAGCCACTTCTGCTCTACGTGGGCCTGCCGGTGATGTGGGACGGGAAGTTGTGGCGATTGGCGATTCACGAGCGATCGAAGTCGTGTCTTAATGATTCAGTGATGGTTCCTTTCATGCAGCAGCCCCTTGGACTGGTGAATCATGATCCACCCCAGTCGTTCAAGGCAGAAGCAGCAGGCAGGCAGCAGGCAGTTTGAAGACCGACCCGTGCACCAGTACAGGGCGCTTTTGGGGCCTGGTGACAGTTTGTTTGCCGCTGCTGTGTCTACCATTCAATTGGATGTTCCATGAGTCTGCCAAGGAAGTGGCTTGATGTGCTGTGCTCGTGAATTATGCTGATCTTTCAGATGTGTTGGAGAGACTTGATGCAACACACGTTTAATTGCTGGATGAGGGCGCCAAAAGGCTCCGGTTGCTGTTGGTTTCTCTTTGGAACCAAAAGAGTAGCCTTCAAAAACGACAGACCCACATGACCGCGGAAACACCACCAGTTTGTGCTCATTCTTTGCTGCATAAGTGCAACCCTCGGCTTGTTTCGACGCAGGGGGATGTTCTTGCAGCAAGGCGTGTGAAGTAGAATGTTGTGCATTAGAACACCATCAGGAACCTTGTTGGCTTGACAAGAAGGAGTAGTTTGTTTGCTCGGCATACCCGCCTCTGTCCTAAAACACACATTTTTTTGGGGTCCAACCTAAATCACCATTTCTTTGGGGTCCCTAATAAAGAGGAAACCCCACCCAGAGGGGCCCCCGTAACCTCCCCATCCCCCAACTCCCCAACCCCCCAGCCCCCCAAACCCCCAACCCCAACTGAGCTCTTCCCCCGACACCTCGCAGGACCTGCGGGAGGAGGACAAGGAGGGCTGGGCGGAGGACTTCTTCCGAATCCTCCGAGGCGCCCCTCGACCGACGTCGTTTCCAGCGAGCCGTCGGAAAGCCGTCGGAAGCGGTCTGATTGTCCGGATCGAAGGGCCGATTTCCCGTCTCTCAAAAAACCGATAGCCCTGGAAAAGGATGGAAAAGCGGGAACACGATAGGGGGACCCTCAAACGAAGAAGCGAAACGGCCGCAAGTAAACGTAAGTAATTGCGACCGTGCCTCTGGTTTCAACCATGGTTTCAAAGTGGTGCAGTCGGTCCACGGTATTCCAAGGGGCGGTCCTGCCAAAGTGATGAGAGCCCCCACTAAAAGGGACACCCCCCCTATGAATCAACTGGGGCATTGTGAGTCTGGTGTGCGTGCTTGCACAGGTTTGATCCAACATGCGCAATAGTTTCCAGCCAATCTGGGCTGGACATGGGACCGTATGTGAAGCTCACATATAGCATCACTTCCCTCGCGCGGTCATCGCCCAGAGGCGATCGGCACGTGGTCATCGCGATGAGTGTGTTCACAGCCGGCCGCTCAGCAAAGATTTCACAGATCCAGCATTGATTTTGGGTGTGTTTGAAAGTTTAACATGTGGCAGATTTCATGCTCATGTCGGTGTCCATTTTCCGACTCCGACCATTGTTCCGTTTCTTGCCATCTGCCTCTCACCCTTTTTCTCGTGCGGATCTGATAAAAAAATAGGCGAAAAATCGGAGAGCTCACGTCAGCGAGCGCTTTCCAAGGCCCGGGCGGTGCACTGGCAATTCGGAGCTGGGATTCCGGTGCTGCGGTTCCTGGGGCTCCACAGCAACGCCCACTTTGCGCCGCTCGGAAGGGGCCCATCGCTTCGAAGCTCAAGTGACTGGAGTCTGGGTATTTCAACGGCCAATTTGTTTGGGGGAAAACAAGGTGAGGCTTTTTTTGGAGGTTTAGATTGTTGGGAAAACAAGGTGAGAACTGCAGGTGAGACTCTTATTTTTTGGAGGTTTACACTCAAAGTTCTCACCCCCACTCACTTGTAACATCACCAAGTGGGGGGTGAGAACATTTTAGCATTAGCTTTTGGACCGAAGGGAATTATGCAGTCGGCATAGCGGGCATTCTTTATGATATGAACATAGCTTGAATGTGCAAGTTCAGGCGACTGGGAAGAAGGTAATCTGTCAATTCGCCAGGGACACCAGGGGACTCTCCGCATGAAAACAAGAGATGTGTCTTTTGCTAAGGCTGCGGTTGACAGGAAACCAGAAGGACAACAACCATTTGGGGGGGGTCCCCTAAAAAAGACGGTCACCCATATGTTTGTTTGTCCTGCTTATTTAAAGCAACTCAACGACTCTTTGACGGTGGCTCGCAGCCCGTATCCACTGAACTTAGGGTAAAACCGGACCAAACCGGGGGCTACTTAAGGGGCCATGTATTCTTCTAGAAAACGGTTTGGATGCGCCTTTTGTGGATTTCACCTGTTCTTTTCTCCTGCAGCTCCTGCTTTAGCCATCTTTTATAGTACTCTTTTTATATTCTACCAGGGTGGATCCACAAACTCCGCATCTGTGAAATAGCCCCCCCCGGTTTGGTGGGGTTGTCTCCGAGTGTTTGCGCGCGGGGATCCGGCCTCGCGGAGGCCCTGGCGCAACGAGTCGGTGCTGGTGAGCCGCTTCGGCACCAGCGGGGCCTTGTCGGACGGGGATTTTTGGGGGCATTCGCGGGGCGCAACGAAGTGTGGGGTGGTTTCATTGAAAGATTTAGGTATGTGGGGGGTTGGGGGGGTTTGAGGGCGGGGGTTGTTGGGGAGTTGGGTGGGGGGGGCGGGTGAGGGGGGGTTGGGTGGGGCGCAGTAAACCATGGGCATCGTGCTAAAACCAATCGGTTCGCGTAAGGGCGGCGGAAGGGCAGTTTTCAGGAGAAGTGATTTCGCACAACCTCCCATATATGGGCATGGGTCAAATTAAACCGCCAGGATATGGACCGCCGATTTTGTCTTTTCCATTTACGAGGGCAAGCCATTTTGGGGATATATAGGCAGGCTGTGGATGGTTGCGACATCCTCACCACGAAATGAGTCACCATGGTTGAAACCGTAACGTATGTTGGTATTTTCAGGGAAATCGAATCGGAAACCAGGGCTTCTTAAGTGGTGCAGGATTGAGCAACCATCCACAGTCAGCAGGCGGTGGGTTGTCTTGTGGCCAACTGCCCGTAGTCTTCGTCTTTCCAAGCACTTTTCGCTAGACATTGGCCAAGTGCTTAAGTGATTGAGTGTTACTCCCTGGCTGATTATTTAGGGTGGATGCTCAAGTGGTTCGGAACCCATTCGACCATGGCTTCCAAGCATTTCGCACATGTCCAACCCATCTGTTTCTCGCTTTTGCAAGGCCCAGACGGATTCGATTCGCCCCGGCAGGAGTGTATGCTGGACAGCTTCGCTGCTGCTAATCGCCACTGGCCGGGCCCTGAACATTTGCCAAGCGAGCCAGCTTGCGCGGGGAAGAAAGCCAGCTCACCAGACAGGAGTGCCGGACTTGGCTTGCCTTTCTACCTTTTTGCCTTTCCGGCTGCACTTTCCACCTTGCTGTTGGCGTTCCTGCATTTTCACAGTTCCCCACCGTTAAGCCTGGTGTCCCACAAAAACTGGTCACCAAACAGACTTGGTTCCTGTTTTCCTACCAGAACTCTTTGGCTGGACTGTGCCATGCTCCAAGCGATGAAGGTTAGAGACTTGGCGCTTGCCACAAGCCCACCGTACCAAACACGGCTGCGCCACAGATTACGCGCGTCGGCTGCGCCAAAGCGCGGAGGTTCCCCCTGCGCTTCGTTCAGATGGAGGCGGTGCTGTTTGAGGAGCATTTGGCCAGGGACCGAAGGGAGCGAAGGGGCGACCTTTTGCAGGCCCCCCAGCGAGTCGTGCCAACTTTTTTTTTTTTGGGGGGGGGAGGGGTCAACCCTACTAAAATAGACAGGAAAAAGGGGTACCCTTATTCTAACATCTCTTCTGGACCTAGTTTTTCAGGAGGCACCTCGGGCTCGCCCTGGCACGTAACTCATAAAGACCTTCACTGGGTAACAGGGAACAGGGACTTTGTGGGATTAACACCACGGTGTGGGGACAACAAATGCACCGAGCGTATCGCCGAAGACGCTCGAATGCGTGGCTGAGACTCGTGGGCAGAGAGTGAGCCAAGGGCCCTGTGGTTGGTTTTCACTGGAGGGGGATATCCTGTGGTAAAGGGGAGAACTAGTTTCGTGTGGTTCACTCAGACCTCATTCTACAAAGTTGGTGCCCTGGTAGATTTCAGATGGCAGAATCCCCCCAAGGTTCCATGATGCCAAACTGGGTGATTGCCATACCAGAATGTCTACTTCAAACTGTTTCACGTTGAAGGCAGGTATTTTGTGGCCGAAAGTGGCGTTTGCAAACACATCCCAAGTTGACTGTTTATCTTTTGAGCCATTTGCAGCCTCCGTCAAGCTGGTCTTGTGTTAAACAGGGAACACTTTCAAACCAGGCTGTCCACATAGATGCCCGTGTAGTTCATGTCCAAAGGGTCCCAAGAATTCACTCCTTTGTGTTTGGGTTTGTCTCAAACATGGATCTGTCATTACTTTGATCGTTTCTAGGGGTCAAAGTCAGAACATGGAATCGGTTGTTTCCCGTTCACCCATCACTTCTGACTTTGATCACATGGTAAAATAATGAGGCCAGTGGATTGTGAACTTGACTCGTCTCTCAAGATTCACGTCTTGGCTTCACCGTGGCATCGGTTTGGCTCGCAGCTCTCGATGCGTAGCAAGCCATGGGCGGAGAGCGATGCTCAGCGAGGAGGTGCTCTGTGCAGAGCCCTACCTCCAGGCGAGCGGAGTTTGAGGCAAACCCCAAATCTGGGCGGGCCCATTTTTTCTCAGTCTGGAATGTGGGGGCACTTCTACATTGAATGTAGTCATGGGGTACTGGTACGTCAAGGTTCAATCAAGTCATGACCATAGAAAAAATACTACGAGTGATGAGAAAAGGCCCTTGAAAACTGATGACCAATCCCAAAGGGTAGGAATTTGGTGAACGGTTCCTCTGCCGTTCTTTCAGGATCATTGCAACGGCAACGCAAGTTGGCAGTGTAGTTGTTCAAACGCAGGCTGGGGTTTGTAGAGAAGTCAGGGAACTGTGCTTGTTTGTCAGGGCTCCTTAAAAGATACATTTTGCCCATTTGAAACATGGCTTTTTTCCACCAAAATAAAGGGACACCACCATTTACAAGGCAATGTTCAGGAGTATAATGTAAGGATCCCTGTTTGTTTCTTGCATGGGCAGTTTCGTTTCGGTACTCCTCAACACGACCTCAAAAGATGTATCTTCAAACCAGGCATACTGTACCTGGTGCTGGATGGCCTTGTATTTGTCGTTCCCAAGCCAAACCAAGAAAAAGGACGCCCCAGGCTTCCTCTTCTTTGGTGCATGTTGCTTGGATGTTAGGACTTTAACTTCTTGCCAACTAATGGGTTTTCCGTATGAAACCACTAACAGTTAGTTTGTTTTAGCAGGGGAGCAGAAAGCCACCGAGTCTTTACTAGAGTACCTGCAAGTTGGTGTCGATCTTGGCCTTTCCACGCGCAGGGCCACCTTTTCGCGGATGTCTCGGAGGAACACCGGGCAAGCCGGCTGCGGCAGCTGAATGAAATCGATGGCAGTCTGCCAGGCGCATCCTGAGTTTGTCTCTAAAAGGGAAGGGGGGGAAAAGCAGCTCAAACTGGGTGGTTTCGTGTTGGTCTCCCTTAAATTGTTAAAAGACTGGTTTTGGGCCTCCCTTATGCCTTTCAAGATTTCGAAGCCAAGCGGTCGGGGGTCGAACAAACGCACGGGTACCCTCAAAGTCACCACACAGGGACGCGGCCAAGCCCGAGAGCTGTTTGGCTTTCGCTTTCACTTTCGCCCATGTTCTACCTGCTAGGAGTGACCGAAGCTCCGAAATAAGAAGGTGGACTGCCATTTGTGTCTCTGAAAGCATGACCACTGGTCCTCAGCACCAGCACCGTGACCTTGCGCTCCCGGTCAAATGATTTTGCTGTAGCTTACCAAGGATGTTTCTCTGATGGTGGTTTCCCTTTTGCCTTTTCTATAGATGGTGTTTCTCGTGTTGGCGGTTTTCCCTTGGTGGTTTCCCTTCACCTGTTGCTGGCTCTCCGGTAAATGGGCAGTTTTTCTGGGAGGTGCCTGCCGAAGTATCGCCGGGACGCTCGATCGCGGGACCCCCGCTCCCACAGGTGAGCCACAATCAAAACCCAGGTAGATGAAGGTTAGTAAGGGACAATCCTAGCCTTCCTAATTCTTCACCTGGCTCTGGGGATCGACCATTTTACTAATGTCTACCTCTGATCAATAAACACACACCCCTCAAACAACTTCCCTCCCCAAATCGCTCTTGCAACTTTAGTCATAGGTCGACATTACCGGGTTTTGACGACTCAGGTGGCCTGAAGGGCTACCTGCAGCGCGCCAGATCTCTGCTGCAAGAGGCGCAAGCAGGGAGCAATCCCTTCGCTGGCCTCAAGGTGGAGATACCCGAGCCTCGGATGAAGTTTGGAAAGCATCCGTGTGGTCAATACTTATGGCTTCTACACGAGGTTCGGTCAAAATGTCCGGATGTCTATGGCTTGTTTGGGAGGGACGTTGCAGGGACTCGCTGAATTTCCCACCAAACCAGGAGGCTCAAGACATGTCCCGTCAGTTTGAACATGGCTTAGACAGCGGCCGTGTTGTCCGGTTGTTCGATCACCCAAAAAGCAGCGTCGCGCCGAACAGTTTTCCTACTGCTGAGCCCCCAAAGTGAAAGGGTTTCCACCCTGTGTGTCAAAATAAAGGGCCCCCAAAGTCTTGGTGTCCCACTGGGTTTTCCTTTACAAAGTGTTTCCACTGGGTTTCCACTGGGTGTCCACTGGGTTTCTACTGGGTTTCCACTGGGTTTCCACTGGGTTTCTGTCAAAATAAAGTGAAAAGGGCTTCCCCCTCAAGCCCCAAGTGTTCCTCATGGGATCGAAAGCAGGACGGGCTGAACCTCTCGGGCGCATCTGGTCCGGGCAGTGAAGGCTTTGCGGAGATGGATGCTGAACTGACCTGGCATGCGCCTTTTGTCAATTGTTTCTGTGTATTTTTCGCTTTTGTTGCGGCGGCCTTGTTTTCGGCTTTTGGGATTTTCTTGCTGTGTTTTGTCTTTCTTGTTTGATTTGTCGGCTTAGTCTCGTTGTCTTGTTCGTTTTGGTGTTTTGCTTAATTCAGCTTCGATGGCCCAAAGATGAAGAAACACCTGCCAGGACTCTTGCCGTCCGGTTCCTTAGGTTTTAGGTGTTTTTGGTTAGTTTGGGGTAGTTTTCATTTAATCCACTGAAAGTGTTCGACTTGTAGCAGGGGATCGGGGGAGGTTTAAGCTTAGTTCACACCATGTTTCGTTTGCGTAACAGAGGCGAAACGTGGTAATAGTTTGAGAGATGCGGAATGGGTGTGGGGGGTAACTAGTACATATAATGTACCATCATGGAATCCTGGAAGCACCATATGGCTGTGGGTCAAAACCAATGGTACCATTTGGGGTAGGTGCGCCACCCATTTTAGAACCTATTGTAGTGGGGATTGGGATGTTCACTGGGGGTACGATTTGGCTTTTGACCCATGGCCATATATTTTTCCCAGAAGGTCCTCATCCTTTTCTGTTTTTGGGGAGGGGGTTCTAAACAGCAGGTTGACCGACGGATCCCCAGGAAGTCTTGGGCATGAAGCAGCTGGCGAGCTGCGCCTTCTGTTTGGTGGCCGGTGGACTGGGGGACGCCTGGCGGCCCGTTTTTTTTCTTTTTTTTCGCCTGCCCAGAGGCGCCTGGCTTTGGCTTTCCATGGAAGAAAGACGACCCCTCCATTAGACAGCCCGGGACTGGACCCGGTCTCAAAACCTGGCTGTTTGGAGGGCCCTAAATTGATCGGGTGGGGTGGGGGAAGGGGTCGGCTTGACTTTGTTTGGCTTGGGGCGGGGTGTGGTTGCTGGGCTTAAGGGCTATGTTTTTGGTTCATATTCTTCTAGGCACATCCAATCGCGAGCTCGCAACGGGAACTAGAAAGGGCTCACTGGGGTTGGGCAAATGTGTTTTCGCCGGATTGTCATTGGTGGGCATCATTTCTACTGAAATTCTGTCCGCAAGTCAGTTTGGAGGCTGTTTCTCTCAGATAGATTTGGCAGCACCGCTTCTCGCACGTGGCGGTCAGGCGCAGAGGTGAAATATGTTGCTTGGCTCGGGTTGGACCTCTCCCCACAAGCACGAGGCTTGCGCCAGCCCCAAGTTTGGTCGAACAGTCCAAATATCCATTTTCGGGGGCGACTAGTCACCAACACTAAGGTTACCCTTGATTGGTGGTTTGGATTGGCGGTTTGGGGATTCATTGCCCTGGTTTTTGCGGAGGTTATATGGGAAGCCTCCCCCTAGAGGGAAGGGCAGCAGAGGCAATTACTGTAGTAGGTGGTTACTGCAGGCAATACATAGGTTGTTTCCCTCGACTTAAGGTTTACACCTTCAGGTTTGCCACTTCGTTGCCCGGAAAAAAGGCTGGCAAGGATGTAGCCCTGAGCTGAGGAACGTTTGGGCTTCCCTGGGATCAAGATCGGCATCACTGCCGAAGTGGTCACTGGCGTCTTGGTTGCTCGACCTGGAACCTTTTGACGCAGGGCTGTGGGGAATGACCACTTCTGTGATACATCAGAAAGGGCTTCCCAAAGACTATTTTCTTCATATAAAGGGAGATTCCCTTGTATCACAGAAGTGGGGAGAAACCCCTTGATCCCACAACCCTGTTTTGACCGCTTGGAGAATGACGG